TGGCTTCTACTCCCAGGCCTTTACCTGAGAAGCTGCCTTGGAAGCACCCATGCATATGACACCGCAGCCTTTTGAGGACAGTCTTCAGTGTCACCTGAACTGGCTTCAGTGACATCACTCTCCAGGTTTCTTTCAGCTGTTCCGGCTTCATCATGCCTTGTTCCCTTGCAGGTTCCTTTTCTGCCCTCCCTTCAACATCAGGGTGCATCAGGTTCTGTTATGAACCCGCTAGTTCTACAAACTCTCCCTGGGTCACCAGTCCGTACTCCTAACGTCAGTTGCCAACACCGTGGTTAACTACAGGACTTGGCATAGAGGAGGTGCTTACCCAGTTTCTGTTGAATAAAGAAGTGGATGGAACCAGTAACTTTAGTCAAGACGTCAGTGTGCCCAGGAACGGCAATTCGGTGTCCTGTCCTGTTTCCAACTTGTTCTTCCTTCTATCTCCTGTCCTGGGCTCTGCTGCTGTCATTGATCCTGTGATCAGAATGTCTGGCCTAACTTTGCCTTCTCCCTACTCCCAGGCCCTGTTAACCTCCTGCCGGTCCAAATCCGTCTCCCCCTCAGGTCCCCATCATTTCTGGCAGTGACCACTCAATCTACTGTAACTGGTCGTCCTGCTCCAGTCCTGCTCTTCCCAAACCAGCTCCACAGTTCTTTTCCTGAGACACACACACCCTTAATAGACGGCCCTGCTGCGACCCACCCCCGGCTGAGCTGGATCTCAGGTATGCTGCACATGTGCTTGGGACAAGAACCCACGACCTTTCCTACGTAAGTGCAGTTGCATTACTACTACACCATCACCATCATCTCTCCATGTACAATTTGAAAAATACATTTGAGAGGGCCAGGGAGTGGTACAGTGGTAAAAGTTAATGCTCTGTGAGACTGACCAACACGGGAAGGTTCTAGGTTCACATCTGAAGACCTCTCTGAGCACACTGGGTACACACATGCCTATGATCTGGGGCTGGCTGTGGCTGAAGGTGGATCATAGCATCAAGACATTGCTGGGGATGGTTTTTCTTGCTTCTGGAAGAAATAAACTTCAAAATTAAATTGTGTGGGGTCGGCAGATGGCGTAACAGTTATGTCACTGGATGCCCATGTAGTCAACCATGATGCGAATCCAGAACCTAGAGGCTTAAAACTTCACAAACTTCACACCAGACGCATGTGTGTGCTTATCTAAAATCCTGAGAGGAGAATGGAGAAAGGATTCCAGTGGGGCCAACCCTCTGGGAAATGATTTTTCACTTAGTCTCTCCAGCAAGTGCACGTGCCCCATATAAAAAAAATTCTCTTAACTCACACCAGGCATGTGTGTGTGCGTGCCCAAGATCCTGAGAGGAGAATGGAGAAGGGATTGTGGCGTGACCATCCCCCCTGGGGATGCGAACCACGGTCGACTATGTGGGAGTCCAGCGACATAGCCATTACACTAACTGCTGGTTCCCTGTCTGTCCTTTTCTATTCCATTTCCCTGAAGCACAGCCCTGGCCTGTTCCACCAGCCCAAACCCATACCTAGTCTTCAGGATAACTGGGAGTAATGGCACAATTAACTATTGGCAGCCCCGTGCTGACTAAAATTTGCTGGGTCCCACATTCAGATTTGTTCAGCTGGCATGACCTGTGGACTCACTTAGCATGTGTGCCTTGGGTTGTCAGTTGAGGAACTAGAGGGTAACTTGCTGGAGGCTCAGGGGACAAGTGAGTTGGGAGTCCAACATCAGCCAGTGGCCAGGCTGGGCCAGTCTAGACTCTGAGTTGGAAGTGTCCAAACACCTGCACTCCTCCTCCCTCAGGGGATCAAGTCCCCTCTATCAGACACAGAATAATAACTCCAAGGATAATTTTCTTTTCTCTGTATGTCCTCTCCAACACCCCTGGGACAAGTTATAAAATACCCACTCAATCAGAGATGATCAAGCTGACCTAATTGGCTCTGAAAGAACTTCCACATCACTGCCATCTTGGTGGTTTTCTTGCAGAGCAACTGTTTGGCTGGCTGGAGCTCAAGTCTGCTAGAAATCTGAGTCCCTTTTCAAACTGTCAACACAGCGGTATCATCAGCCTCATTAAAATTGATGCCAGCACAATGTGACAGGGCTCGAGGAAAATGAAGGTCACCGCATAAGGGAGAACCTCCTTGGTGCTCGTCTCACCTTTCTCAGGCGTGGGGTAGTAGACAAATAGGAATGCGTAGTAGACAAATAGGAAGGCCGGAAACAAACAACGGGCTGAGCCTGGACCTAGCCCACAGCGAGTAACAGACATGAGTCTGGTGGTAAAGACGCAGGAGCAGCTCCTGGAACCTTACACAAGAGTCTGCATTTCTGGATCAGCAAGTGCTGGTCACTCCTCAGGGTCTACCGTCCTCTAACAGGAGTGAACTAAGGTAAGAGCATATTGAAAGCAAGGCCATATGGTTTCCAGGCTGGATCTTAAGACTAATTTACCAGAAAACCCCGGGATAGTCCCTCACTACCTCCCATGCCTCAGTTTCACCATCTCTCCAAGCAATGGCTTCAATGTTTTTAAAGTACGGAACCATAGCTTCAATGAAATGGCATGCCAACATACCACACACACAGAGGTGCTAGTCAGGACTGGTCACCCAGCCCATCACAGCTCCCGTTCAACTCTGAACATTTTCTAATTCAAATATTCACTGCGAAAGCTGGCAGCAAATTCATTCAATGAAATTCTCCTTCTGATAGGTGACAACTCCAAAAATACATCTGCTACCAGGACTGGAAGATGTCATAGTGGTTACGTCGCTGGACTCCCACATGGCCACTTGTGGTTCGAGTCTCAGACCCGGCAGCTTCAAACTCACACCAAGCACTATGTGCATGCATGCATGCCCAAAATCCCAAAAGGAGAATGGAGGAGAATGGATTGTGGCGTGGCTATTCCCCCTGTGTGTGTGTGTGTGTGTGTGTGTGTGTGTGTGTGTGTGGTGATTTGTTTTCTGTCTGTGCCTCCTATGAGTACACATGCCTTGTAATAAAAATCTCTTAAAACACACACAATCTGCTGGCCCCTCATCACCAAAAAGACTGCTTCTCTGAGAATTGTACAACATTCTCTGGCCAAAGGTGGCCCTCTGAAAAGGGAGAATAACATCAAAATGCTCTGGTAAACTTTAAAGGAAAAACATTAAAGAAATGACTCCCTGGCTTGGTAATTTTCTAAATATTCTAACTACACGCAAGAGATCAAGCCAACATTTTACTTAAACTTAAAAATGCACAAATGAAAAACAAAGTGTGACCCTGAAGGCCCTCTGGAAAGGCCTAGATTACTTCTCAGGTCTTACTTTCCATTCCTGTATTCTCACTCGCTGATCAAATCTGCCTGTGTGTACCTACATCTGCTCAGCAATTTCCTACCACAATCCTCCCTCCTTTCTCCATCCTTTTTACTGAACCCTATTCAAACTTGCATTTGCAGCTCGAATACTTTCTTTTCTAAAAAAAATCCCCAGTCCTCGAAGTTAAACACTCTCTCTCCAGCCTCTGGACCATCTAGACCTCTCCTTCTTAGGTTCTAGTAAATATCACTCACAGGTCCTCTTTACCAGCTAGTACGCACACCAAAGGCTGGTTGTCTCTCAACTCAGTCCCCCTTCCTCGTGCCCAGCCAATGAGGCTGGCAGCTCCCTGGTGCTTGGTAGATACTAGAATATTCTGTAAACTCAAAAGACAAAAAAAAATCATCCAAAGCTCAGGACATCTAGGCTACAGAAGAAACCATTTTATAATATGATGTACTGAAGGTTTGCCAAATGGCAGGTAAGGTCTCATTCAGGGAAAATAAAGTAATACCGGTTAAACCAGAAATCAAGTTTAGTTCTCTTGAATTTTTTTTTGCAAAAATAAAGCCACCCTTCCACTTTATAGCCCACAGAAGACTTCAATTTTAAGTATATGATCTGGTGGCTCCATTGAAACCATGTAACTTCTTGTAGTTCTAAATTTAGACTCTAATATTTCACACTGCTTTTTACATGCATGAAAACCTCACCCATTCCAGCAGCTTTAGCTAAGATTTACTTAAAAAAAAAAAAAATCCTCAAATCTCTCACTGCAGAAAACTTTATTACTGATAATGCAGCCATACATTTATTTTCATTAAAAGGTTGAACGACTGAACACGGACTGCAGAATATCCTTTCACTCTCCCCAAATCGCTTTAAGATCTGGAAGAATAGGAAAATTTTCCATCTCCTGGAAAAGCTGACCTCAGGCAGTGCTCACCGATTTCTTGGGTGAGGCTTTTCACATGTCATTCCTCTTTAGCACGCCTGTCTTGGTAACAAACCATGCTCTGTTCGCCTGTCAGTCAAACCTTCCATGTTTCAGTCTTGGTGTGAAGGCCATTTTTTCCTCCAGACCTTCCTGTCACCAAGGGTCACAGACCATCAGTACTGCAAGAGACTTCAGAAGCCATTTGGTCACACCCCCTCAATTTTACAGACTGGGAGGTGACCTAGAGGTCAATATAAGCGCACACAAGGAATCAGTGGCAAAGCCAGAACTAGAATTCAGATCTCTGGGGACTCATATGGAGGCTTTCCTTTATATTACCCTTTTTCCTTACTTCACATAGTACTTGAACCTAACTTTATTGTATTGGTTTTCGAGGCTCTAGATCAATTCTAAACCATCGTTTTTAAAAGTCGATTCCCATTTACTCCCAGTTATGAAGAATGAAGATCAAACTCACGTTCACAGAGCCTATACCTTTGTGTATTTCCCCTTCAACAACCACTACAGAAGTGTCAGAGAAACCAGTTCTTCAGTGTTTCAACATGAGCTTACCACTAAAGTCTAATTTAAAAATGTAAGCATACAACTGGGTTTTACCAAAGAGTAACGTGTTTATTTCACTTAAATTCTTAAAAATACTTTTTTGGCAGTTGTCACATAAAACGTCCTAACGTTAGGAAAAAAAAAAAAAAGATTAAAAAGAAAAGCATGAAAAAAAAAAAACAGACCCAAAAATGTTAAGATTTTATTTACAAAGCTTTTTTGTTGTACAGAAAGTAAAAATGCTGTTACAATCTCAGTGTAACTGGTAGCCACGGACGATTGACTCACCAATCACAGCTATCCACGCTACAGAAAGTCTTACACGAAAACCTAACAACGCTTACAATTTTGTTGGGGTGAAGTCCCCACAGCTTGGTAGTAGATTACCAAGAGGGACTAAATGGAGGAAGGCGGAATGTCACAGGAACTATTCTTTGGCTCTTTGGGTGGGTGGGTGTCCTGGGGTTTGTATCACAGCTACCTCTTTTTTAAACAGCTACCAAATCCATGAGCAGTCCAACCAACACTGAACAGTTCTGTCTTTGCAGGTTACTTGGGGTCTTAATCATCTTCTCCTTCATCATCTGTCTCTCTCTTCCTCTTCTCACCTTTCCCACTTTCTTCCTCCTCTGTGCAGTAACAAAAATGGACTTTGAGACCATTGGAAAGGCATTTTGCCTAGATTACTACTAATGGGGGTAACAACAAAAAAACTTCTGATGGCATAGAGATAAAAAATATGTAAACTTGAGCACAGTAGTAAGTTAACTGATTAACAGGCATTAATTAAAAGAAAGTATAAGTGGTGACCACAGAACTAAGAAGGGCAAAATGGAAAGCTGCACCTTAACTCTCACACAGCAAAGATAACCCAGTTTTCTCAAATGTAAGTGGTTCCCTTCCAAATGTTTATTTTCCTTAGACTTGTTGACTACAACAATTAGACACCTCACAATTACTGAAACTCACAGTAAAGACTCTGGAGTTAGTCAAGCTGTTTTTGAACCATGCTCATTACAAGTGACCCTGGGCAAGCCAAAGACATTTATCATCTCTAGGACTGTTTTTCTCATTTGAAAAAATAGAGGCAATGGTGCCAACTTAACAGGGTTATTCTGAGAAATTAGATAATACACAATGAACTATCATGGGACGTAGTTAAGACTAGAAATGAGTATGAACTAAGAAGGGATTTCTTACAATATTTGTATATTTGAGAAACAGAAACACATATGGTCCTTTTTTTGTAGTTAGTAAAACTTTATGGCCATTTTAACTAACTAAACTGATGTCAAATCACGTCCCACAGAGCCCCTTCCAGGCGGTGACCAGTATAAATGTAGTCCAGAGCCTGGCACGGCACAGACGCTGATAAAATGTGGCTCGGTACCAGCAAACGACCTGGGTCTCTCAGACCAACAATCACAACTTGTGCCTTCAATGAACGGTCAGCTATTTCACTAGTCTTGGGTATGATAAGGAAAGGAATAATACTGTTAAAACAGAAAGGTGCTATTAATATACCCCAAAAAATTAGGACCCAATCACAAAGGCTTTTTTTAATGAAAGAACTCCAAACACGGAGGACCAAGAAGGCCTGCTGCCCTCAGACAGGATTACTAGTGGCTGTAGCAGTAAGAAGCTGCTCCAGCCTAGGCATATTGATAGGATTGCACGGTGTGTGCATGCGAAGACCACCACAGTACACCCTCTGGGGCATTTTGTTATTCCAGGGGTATCGAATTCTAAATGATGAATGTTTTCATCTAATTTAACTAAGGAAAACCGAAGTACAGTACATGCACTAAACCCACCTTCATCCTCATCCTCATCCTCATCTTCTTCATCTTCATCGACTTCTCCATCATGTCCAAATTCTTCTTCCTAAAAAATGGTAAGCAGCATAACAATATTAGATTAATTCTGCCAAACTGAGAAATACAAAGAAAAATATACTTTGCAAGTAAACTTAAATACACGAGAAAAATGTAATGCTATTTAACTCCTATGATTTGATTTCCTTTAATAAGCTTAATTTAAAATTTTCTTAAAACAAAGCAAAAAAGCACCCTCTCCAGAAGCCAAGTTTATTTGCCAGCCACGTTCCCTGTGGTGCAGTCCGTCTTCTGGGTCATGGCTGCTATGCGGTACTGCTGCTAACACATACCACAGGGTGTCTGTACTGAACACGTACAAACCTTTTCCGTTGCCATTATTCCTTCAACAATATCCTTTGTGGGGCCAGCAGATGGCGTGATGGCTATGTGGCTGGACTCCCATGTAGTCGACCGTGGTTTGAATACCAGACCCGGTGGCTTAAAACTCACACTGGGTGCGTGTGTGTCCAAGATCCCAAGAGGAGAAGGGAACTGAGGTGTGGCCATCCCCCCCCAGCGGGTGAGTGGTTCCAAGAACCCAAGAGGAGAAGGGAACTGAGGTGTGGCCATCCCCCCCCAGCGGGTGATTTCTCACTTTCTGTCTCTGTCTTTCTGGTGAGTGCACACATCCTACAGCAGAAACCTCTCCAAAAAGAAAGAAAGAAAAAAAACCACACACAATACTGTTTATATAACAATTTACATAATATTTATAATCTAGAGATAATGTTAAGTGTATAGAAGGATGCACATCGGTTATATGCAAATACCATGCTCTGCATAGAGAACCCCATGTCTATAGATTTTTGTTACCCTACAGAGGGTCCAGAATCCCCCCAGAAACCGAGGGACAATTATATACCACTTATAATAATTTTCTTTTAATTTGCTGGAGAGCAGTGTGCTCACCAAAGACAGAGAGATGACTCCCCAACCCTCCATGAGGCATGGTCATGCCACAACCCTCTCTCCACCCTCTATCCTGTCAGGATTCGGGTGCACATACACATGTACCTTCTGAGAGTTTCAAGTGCTTCAACTGAGATTTGAACCACATGGTCTGCCATGTGGGATCCAGTTCTTTAACTACTAGACCATGGAGCCCACTCAATACAGTGATTATTTGAGAAATTATTTTATAATCTTGAATTTATAGAAGGTTTTTGCCTTAGAGCCTGTATGCTTGCAGGGCGGTGGGTGAAGCAGGTGGGGTGGGGTGGGAGGATATACAAAGACAATTAAGGGGAAAGTGAGAAACCAACCCCTGCCCCCGCACACCATAATCCCTTCTCTTCCATTTTCTCCTGAGACCTTAGACATGCCCGCACACTTGGCATGAGTTACCAGCCACCAGGTCTTTCGCTTTCTTAAGTTTGAACTCCAACTGAACACAGTGGGCACACAGCATATTTACTGAATGACTGACTTCACAAGAATGAATTCAGACTGGTACACAAGACCTCTCCGATATAAGGAAGGAATAGACCATCACTTCTCAAACTTCACACTTGCTTCATCCTACTGAATACTCCTTTTTCCTCCCCAAGTTAAAAGGCCAAACGTCCTTGCAGAGCCACGTACCGTGTCTAGTTAGCATTCAGGAGGACTTCTATTCACTGTTTATTAAACGGGGCCAAAAGCTAAATGAACCAAATTCACATCAGAGTATTTATAAGCACATTAATCTCTTCAGAAGGATTTTTTTTCTTTTATTCCCTCCTTCCATTTAAACTCAAATTCTACTTTAGTTACAAATAGGAAGCAGGGCAGAAAACAGTTGCACTGACCTCCCCACTGACTTCGTCTTCATCTTCTTCCCCTTCTACATCTTCGTCTTCGTCTTCATCTTCTTCTTCATCAAACTCTTCCTCCTCACCATCCTCATCCTCCTCGTCTTCTTCATCTTCACCTTCTGAAAACGGTCCAAGAAGAATTCATTAGATAGCCTCAGTGCTCCACAGGGAACATGCTAACGTGTTGGGGGAGCTAGGAGCGGGCCCACAGCAGAAACGCTGGGATACACCAACATTAGGGGGACCTGCACTGCGGTCACCTGCTTTCTACCAAGTGTTGCGCTCAGCCCCTTTGTCCAAGAGTCCTGTAAAAGCAGGAGGATTAGGTGCACACTATTAGTTTTACTGATAAGATATAATGGCTGGGATTTGCTTCAGAATAATATGGGGGGCGGAGAGTAGGCAGGTTATGTATAAAAGATACTACCAAGATCTACTATGACCAACAGTTACTAAAGCTGAGTAATAAGAACATGAGGGTTTGTATGCCTATTATTTCTACTACTGTCAAAGTCAAAATTTCCACAGTAAAAGGTTAAATTATGCTAGAGCCAGCCAGTGGTATGGTGGTTAAGGTGACTGGATCCCACATAGCTGAATGCACCCTGTTAAATCTCAGACCCCAAGGCTTGAAAACACATCAGGCACATGTACATGCATGCTCAACATCCTAAATGGAGAGAAGAGAGACTGTGGTGTGACCATTCCTCATGGTGGGGATGCTTTTTCACTCTTTGTCTCTCTGGGGAGCACACACGTCCTCTGGCAAATTGAAGAAAATTATCCTCCTCCTCTTGGGTAATGCTATCTACCAGGCAGCTCGAATCAGGAATCCGAGACGCCCATTAATAACCCTGACCCAGGGGACGGGAAGCTGAAAGGCAGCCCAGTGTGTGCCTCCCTGTACCACGGCAGCCCTTCCTTCTCTGGGTCCCAGAGCACACGATGCGCTCTCCTTTCTTCTCTGCTGGCCTAACCCTGACTGAGCCGCTGAGCTGCCGTCACTTCCTCGGGCAGTCTTGCCAGACCTAATCCCAGGTGACAGGCCTTCAGTGAGCACCTGGTGCTCTGTGTTAAAAGCACACTTGGCTCACTCGTAATTATCACCAAAAAATGTATCTTCTTAGTAGATACAAACCCCAAAGGGACAGGAACTATTTGCGTGTGTGTGATCACTACTTTCCACAGTGCCAGGTAGAGAGAAAATGCTCAAGCACTTGTTGCCTGACTGATCTTGGTTCTCGGGAACTGCCCTCCCTTCTCCAAGTGCTTGCCCAGGTTTAGTCCTTCTACCAGTTTAAGGTGAACGTACATGAACAGAAAGAAGTGAATGGTTTACAGCTGTAACTGAAAACCTGCCAAGAGTGGAATGAGGAACATAAATGTTTGGAATGAGGAGAAAATGCCCTATTCTGTCTATTTTACCATGTTATAGCCCATTAATTGTGGCCTGTCTCAATTTGCTACGAAACAAAACTAAAAAAGAAAAGCTTCTACAGTGCTCTATCATTAATTGCACTCGCTCTTGCTGAGGAGACAGAGACTAAGAAAGGGAAAGTGAGGAGTAAGCAGATGGCATTAAGACTACATCGTCGGACTCCCACATGGCCAATTACAGTTCAAGTCCCAGACCCAGTGGCTTGAAACATGCCAGGTGTGCGTGCATGTGTGCCCAAGATCCCGAGAGAACAGAGGAGAAGGGACTGTGGAGTGGCCATCCCTCTCCCCACCGGGGGCGGTAATTTCTCGCTTTCTATCTCTGTCTTTCCAGCAAGCGCATAGGCCCTCAAGCAAAAATCTCTCTAAAAATAAAAGGGAATGCGAGAAATCACCCCCCAGAGGTGATGGCCACTCTACAATCTCTTCTTCTCAATTCTCTTCTCGGGATTTTGGCATGATTTTAAAGTCATGGGGTACAGAAAGGAATGCAACGCCTTAACCATCACACCACCTGCTGGTCCAACAATCTTTTTTTTTTTTTTTAAAGTTTGCTATAGGGCACATGTACTCACTGCAAAAGAGACACAGAGAGAGAGGTAAAGTAAGAAAGAGGGATGGGCATGCTACAATCCCTTCTCTTCCTTTCTCGTTTTGGGATTTGGGGCATCCACACAGCCTGGTGTATTTTTCAAGCTGCTGGGTCCAGGATTTGAAACACTTCGCCAGTTGATCATGGATTAAAGTCCCGAGAGCTTATTATTAAACAGAGGTCCTAGCGCCAAATCTAAAGAAATGACTACAGGTATAGATAGAAACTATTTTTCTCAATAGCAAGAACATTCATAGCTTTTATCTTTGGAAGGCAGAAATCAGGTTCCCTAGATGTCAAGCCCACTCACCTTCGTCTTCCTCTTCTTCGTCCACACCGTCCACCTCAGCATCTGAGTCGGGGGCTTCCCGGTCCTCTCGATCATAGCCGTCCAGGTAGGTCAGCTGCGGCAGCAGCCTAAAGACACTCTCTCGGTAGTCGTTCAGGTTAGTGACCTCACAGTTAAACAGATCCAGGCTTTTCAGAAATTCCAACTTTTTCTGAAGAAAAGGATCAAAAAACACAACTCCTAAACCAAAGGAACCCAAGCAACAAAAGACAGTTCCTGAAGAGGTCAAACGCTAGGCTGTATTCAGTGGGCTGCAGCCCGCTAGCCATGCACAGGGCACACACAGCTCAAGTCCTTTGCCACCTTTACGTTAGGTCGTGAGACTTCCGTCCAGTCCCTCCCTTCCTGTATCTGCTCGCCCAGAGAGCTGTCTTTTCTCCCACCATGAGTAATCTAAAGAAATATAAATCTGAATAATTCTTATCGAAACTATCTTTTCATATTATAAGAGAATTAATTTAATAAGCTTAGTTTGCACCTCTAAGGTGTAACACTTAGGTAAACAAATGGGCAATAAGAACTTAATGGATATCACACAGTCTTTAATGCTCTAGGGTGATACTATAGGGGAAAATTTAGATATTTACTGGGTCGTGGGGAAAGCCATGACATACTTTTGCATTAAAAAACAGAAAAATACATTGTATCTTCCACAATGACCTAATATATGGCCAACATGGAGGTGCTTACAGTTCTACTTGAGGACACAGCTGTGTCTAACAAAGTACAAATGGCGGCAATGTAGCTATTTTCAGGAAGACAGGAGTCAATATGGCCCGGGAAAAGGACGACTAGGAGTTGAAATTCCAAAACACAGAGAAAACATTACACTCTCCTCTTCTTTTTTAATTTTTGAGAAAAGACTGATACTATTACCAGACTTTTCTGTTATAAAATTGTTCTGATTTTACCATACCTTGAAATATTGTTGTGATACTGTATTTGGGGGAATCGTAGGTTTCATCTGTCTAAAACAGTTAAGATCTAAAAACATAGCCCAAGAAAAGTTCTGTGAATAGCTGAAGTAGACAAAATAAGGCCCATATATTTTACTTTAAAATCTTCATTTGTTATTTTGTCAGTATATTAGTATTTCGATATTAGGTCTGCCAAATTTTAAAAGGGCAAAATAAGAAATTCAGAGGGCAGATGTATTATCACTGGCAAGTCAGGAGATGGCAGCAGGAAGTGACAGCAGACCCTTGTAGGCAGGCCCAGAGGGAGCAGCCTATAAAAGCAAACACAAAAAAGTGAGGGAACAGATGCTGCCGTGCCTTTTAGAGTAGGGCAAGAAGCCGGGGGTGCAAGTGACCCCACAGCTTCGTAAATGGAACGTCTAGTGGTTCTCAGTCAAGAGGAAAAGCTTGGTATTCTCTAAGAAAATAGTACTAAAAAAAAAAAAGTTGATGCTTTAAAAAAGTAAAATGCCGTGTGAGGAAAGCTACGGCGACACTGTTCACGAGAACCTGGGAAGAAATGCAGACAAACACAACTTCGTTTTCACGGACCTGATTTATCTATGTAATTCTGCAGATATTCGAAGTAACCTGAAAATCTGCTTTGGTGCTTTAAAGTGCAGGTTGGCAAACCATGGTCTACTGGCCACTTCTGGCTCAGCACCTGTTTCTGTAAAGTAGTCTGATTGGAACACTCACACTCACTTGTTTGTGTGTTACATATGGCTCCTTTTGTGTACTGTGGCAAGGCTGAGCAGTCGTGACAGAGATCATAAGCCAACAAAGCTTAACGGTTGCTGCCCCTGCACTTAAAAACAACCATTTTCCCCACCGGGAGCTTCCCACATTTCTCTTTTATTCTCACTGAGTAGCCCTTAAAAGCACAGAGCCAGGCAAGGAGCAGAAAGGAAGGTTATAGCAACAGGCATGTTACCCTTCAAAACACAAAAGCACAATGATCCAATAGTCTGTGGATCAGATCCTGTGCTGATGTAAGCCAGTGCATCCCCAGTCCTTCTAGTCACAGGGGAAACGGCTTTTCTATCGTGGAACTTTCAGAGGAGGTTCCCTGCTGAATGGGCCCTGACTGTCAGAAGCTTACGTAGGACTGCTTGCCAAACAGGGAAAACATGCTATTAAAAGCACCCAGAAGACGAGTGAGTGTCCTGGCTTTTTCACAAGGCTAACCCTACACCAAATGAGACACGGCCACAGTCGATTCAGGCAGCTTTCCTAAAGAGGTTTAGTCTAAAAATTCTTTACCTCTCCAAATTATGTCCTAGGAATGGGTGTTCAAAAGGTACATATCATCACTGATATTCATCTAATGATTTACAAGGCCCAAAGCGTTTTCTCTGGTCTTACTGATGACTCCAATATAAGGAGTCTTCAAGCTCTCCTGTCTGTGAAGCTATGTGATTCTGTGAGAATTTTGGTTACTTTCTGACAAAGTACCCATCATCATGTGGACACACCAAACAGTATACTATCATAGAAAGTGAAATAAGAGCAAATCAATGAAAACAAAACCAAAATTAACTATAGTATTCCACAACTGTTTAAAGTAGTAAAATTTTGCTTTAAAGCCTAACAGGCACAAAATACACTACACATAGATTATTCAGGATCCCAATGTAATATGTAAATACTGCTAAAAAAAATTACAATTGTACTATACCAGAAATTTGACCTAAGCGAATAGGCTAGCCATAATAAACATTTAACATTTTATTAACAATAATTTTGCTTGCCTTCTTAGAATTTAGAAGGGCTTTGGGGGATGGTTTGGATGGCCCAGGTCTCTTAAAAAAGGTGTCCAAGGAAGTTTGAATTGATGCCTTCTTTGTCTCTCGATTAATGTCCCTGTAGCAAGCAGAGGCATTCACAATCATTGCAGTGACTGTAAGAACTGGGCTCAAAGTAGACGGTGTTCAAATGTATGTGGTTGATGAGGATGAGGATGGTGTTTTCCCCACTGAATACCTTCAAAAGTCAAAATGGACCCGACATTTCCCCCTTCACCTTCTCCTACAGATTACCTTATTCCAAGTTACAACTTGCGGAGACCAACACTGCAGCCCCAGGAATCTGAACGGAACAGCAGAATAGCAGGAGCTCATGCTTTTCCGAATAGCTCTGATTTGTGTGACTCTGGGCAAGGATTCAGCCTCACCCAAGCCTTAGCTTCCTCAATGTAAAATGAGAGTAATGCTATTTCTACCCACTTTGTAGGACTGTTTCTCAACACTTACTAATAAGGTGACATTTCCAGGTGCTTTAGCACCTGGACAGCATATGGGCACAGTAGACCCTTCAAACATGGTGAATTTGATAAAGATTTATTATCTTTTACTCTCCCGCGAGATCGACGTTTTCAGACACCAAGAAAAGGCCTTCATCTATCAATGACCAGGACAGGAGGACTCAAGCAAACAACTCCTGCACAGCATTTGTGCCTGCTCTACACGTGTGTGCTAGGACACTGACAAAAGTTTCTTTTCGCTATAGGACGTGTGCACTCACCAGAAAGACAGAGAGAGAGAGAGAGACAGAAAGCGAGAAATCACCCCCCAGGGGAGATGGCCACGCTGCAATCCTTTCTCCATTCTCCTCTCGGGATCTTGGGCACGCACGCACACTTGCCCGGCGTGAATTTAAGCCGCAGGGTCCGGGGCTCGAACTGGTTGACTATATGGGAGTCCAGCGACATAGCCATGACACTAACTGCTGGTCTCCTGACAAAGGTTTCTTTTAAATCAAAGAGGACTCTGGTTGCCATGAGAATTAGGCAGCAGCCAGTCATCTAGCATGAAAAGGTATAGCCTGGGGCTAGCAGGTGGTGTGGTGGTTAAGGTACTGGACACTCCCACATGGCTGACCATGGTTCAAGTCCTGAAACTGGTGGTCTGCTTTTTCACTTTCCCCCTCTCTCTGGTCAAATTAAAATAAATAAATGAATAAATTAAAAAATTAATGAATTCCTTAAAAAAAAAAAGAAGAAGAAAAAGTATAGCCTGGTATTCTGTTCTTTTAAAAAAAATAAGTGGGAGGGGGATCTTCTGTTCAATGATCCAGAATTGATAGGCTTGTCATTTAACAATAAACGAAGGCTTAGTGCAGCCTGTCTGCCTGGGAGAGATCATTTATTGTAGTGTTCCTGTTCAAGTTCCAAGCTTAGGGAAATTTGAGGATAGAGTTAAATTTACAGGTAGGAGGAGAACAGTTTCCAAGGGCAGCAGAAAGAACTGTGGGTTGGAATCCCTATTCTGTTATGTATCCCAAACAATTATCTAAACTCTAGAAACTCAGTTTTCTTGTCTCTAAAAGGAATACAAGTGTAATTCTTTCTTCTCTAGATTATGAGAATACAATAGGCAAGTATTAATGTTCTTAGATATAGTAAAATTCCATTAATATATGTGTAAACACCAGAAACAGGAGTTTGTTTAAAGAAAAAGGATGGAAATAGTGGTTTCCTCTACAAGGGGGAAAAAGACAAATTTGTGGAGCAAGGATGAGAAGCTCCCAGGACTTTTGAGAAATATGAGCTTGTCTTTATGGTCCATTCAATGAAATGTAAAAAGGACTCAGTAAAAGGCAATTCAATCTACATTAGAGCAGTCTCTCGATTATTGACTAGGAAGATCTCATAATTCTGGCAGAAAATCCTCTTCAATAAAAGAAGCTACAACTTAACTCTGAATCTTCTCCCAATATAACCACAGAACACTCTATACAAGTGAAATTCGAATACACTGTGAGATCAGAAAAAACAGTATCAGACAAGGAGATCTACGCTCCTGGGTTCTGCTCCTCTGGATCCTGAAGGACAGTTCTCTGCTACACAACTTGCTCCAATCAGCACAGGTGGGGGTGCTACCCCACACCCTGCATTAAGCCCCACCTTTAGAAGCTCTTTTCTGGACACTACAACTTACAGACTGCACCCCCCAATAGCACAGCCTCTCAACTTACAAAGTGAAGTAGGTGCATTATCTTTTTTATTCTCAGAACTCCTAGGTGAGATTAGGTTAAGGCAGGGTTTATCATCCTGCTTCATAAATGAGGAAACTGAGGCCCAGAGAGAAGCAATTTGCCCAAGTCACACAGCAGACGTACAGCATAAGCGGCACTTACATCGACTTTCCACAGAATACCCCAATATGAGACTGAGGAGGGTCTTGGGGTTCTGGAGGCAACAGTGATCCAGCCACAATACAAGATCATGAACTAGAAGACCTGAAACTTACTGGAGCTGTCATTACTCCATCTACAATTCAGATATGCCATCTAATAAAAATAGCTTTTTCTGCTAAAAGTATAGAATACTGTGGCTAATCTGGAGGGAAAAATTTAACACACATGGTTAAGGCTATAATCAATGTGTGAATTAAAAAAAAAAAGGAAAAGAAAAAGAAAAAATCTTCAACCCCCCCTACCCAAAGAAGTCCCTTTAAAGGAAGCCACCACAATTTCAGGAAATAACAAAGCCACAGGAATATATTCAAGAGGTCTTTTCAAATCTTTAAAAAATTTTAGAAAATCTTTTAAAATTAAAAAAAAAAAATCACTTTCTCAATTATTATTATTCCATCATTTCCCCACGATAAAGAAATATGAAAATGAAAATGACAAGTCCTAGTTGCCAAATGTTCTGTTACTTACCAAAGGTTCCAAGGTACTGATGTCTTTCAGTTTATTTCCACTTAAGTTTAGATGTGTGAGATTTGGGAGTTTTTCTGCTAACATGTCCAGACCTCCATAGACTCTATTCTCACTGAGCTCAAGCTGCAAAAGAAAATGCACAAAGCACACACACAAATACAAAGAGAGACACACACCATTAAGTCATTGTAAACAGCAAACAGTTTTCAAATACTATCAAGATAAAAAGATCCTTATTGCTATCAAGGAATGTAAGTTAATTGTGTTTGGTTAGAGCCAAAGTAGTTAATAGATCCCAGAAGCATGGGGGGTAATGGAGTGTGGGGACAGACAGGACAGGGTGAGAAGTGTTTTCTAAACCAGCTGCTGAAAGTCTGTTCAAGAACTAACCTCTAACACCAGTGAATACATTTTCTAACCAAAAAGTAGGTCAAAACAAATTAGAATTCTTTGTGAAATTGTAATACTCTACCTGCCAGAAAGGGTAGATGGTGTGTGCATTCTGAGCAGCTCAGTTAAGTGCTAAGCAAAACTTGCAACGCCCACTTGAAACCAACCTGGTTCTGGACAGTACTGGCACACTGTGGGGCTCTACATCTGGAAACCCACAGGCAATGTTGCTCTGAAGGCCCCAGGAGCAGGACAGGCCCCAGAAACAAATGCCTAAAGAACCTCCATGACCTCAGGAAAGGGAGGGAGGTAATAGCTTCAGTTTACTGGCACCCTGAAGGCCACTTTCTGCATGAATTCCACACTAGCCTTTGTAGGATCGACTGTAATTTTTTAGCCACAGGTCAAGCAGCACAGGCAAATGGTGTACCAATGAAGGAATGAGCCTTCACCATAAATATCAGAATCATGGCTTACAAGAAATTGGGACTAGGGGCCGGCAGGTGGAGTGATGGTTCAGGGTAATGGACTTCCACGTGGCCAACTGTGGTTTGAACCCCGCAACTGGCAGCTTGCTTTCTCGCCCGCCCCCCCTCTGTCCCACTCTGATCAAATTAAAACAAATAAATAAAGTTAAATAAAGTGATTTTAAAAAGCAAAGAAAAAAGAAATTGGGACTCCAGCAGGTACAATGAAGAACACCAAATTCAACCTCTTTTAAGCAAATGAGAAACTAGTCATAGAGCTGGTTCCCATGATCTACTTTAAGTGCCAACAATGGTAAGTGTACCTAACCTTTACACAGAACTTAATCAGTGGTCACTATTCAAAGCACTAGAGATACATTACCTGTTTGATACCACAATACACTATGGAGTAGTTAGAATGAAGCTGCTACACAACTTGCTCCAATCAGCACAGGTGGGGGTGCTACCCCACACCCTGCATTAAGCCCCACCTTTAGAAGCTCTTTTCTGGACACTACAACTTACAGACTGCACCCCCCAATAGCACAGCCTCTCAACTTACAAAGTGAAGTAGGTGCATTATCTTTTTTATTCTCAGAAATCCTAGGTGAGATTAGGTTAAGGCAGGGTTTATCATCCTGCTTCATAAATGAGGAAACTGAGGCCCAGAGAGAAGCAATTTGCCCAAGTCACACAGCAGACGTACAGCATAAGCGGCACTTACATCGACTTTCCACAGAATACCCCAATATGAGACTGAGGAGGGTCTTGGGGTTCTGGAGGCAACAGTGATCCAGCCACAATACAAGATCATGAACTAGAAGACCTGAAACTTACTGGAGCTGTCATTACTCCATCTACAATTCAGATATGCCATCTAATAAAAATAGCTTTTTCTGCTAAAAGTATAGAATACTGTGGCTAATCTGGAGGGAAAAATTTAACACACATGGTTAAGGCTATAATCAATGTGTGAATTAAAAAAAAAAAGGAAAAGAAAAAGAAAAAATCTTCACCCCCCCCTACCCAAAGAAGTCCCTTTAAAGGAAGCCACCACAATTTCAGGAAATAACAAAGCCACAGGAATATATTCAAGAGGTCTTTTCAAATCTTTAAAAAATTTTAGAAAATCTTTTAAAATTAAAAAAAAAAAATCACTTTCTCAATTATTATTATTCCATCATTTCCCCACGATAAAGAAATATGAAAATGAAAATGACAAGTCCTAGTTGCCAAATGTTCTGTTACTTACCAAAGGTTCCAAGGTACTGATGTCTTTCAGTTTATTTCCACTTAAGTTTAGATGTGTGAGATTTGGGAGTTTTTCTGCTAACATGTCCAGACCTCCATAGACTCTATTCTCACTGAGCTCAAGCTGCAAAAGAAAATGCACAAAGCACACACACAAATACAAAGAGAGACACACACCATTAAGTCATTGTAAACAGCAAACAGTTTTCAAATACTATCAAGATAAAAAGATCCTTATTGCTATCAAGGAATGTAAGTTAATTGTGTTTGGTTAGAGCCAAAGTAGTTAATAGATCCCAGAAGCATGGGGGGTAATGGAGTGTGGGGACAGACAGGACAGGGTGAGAAGTGTTTTCTAAACCAGCTGCTGAAAGTCTGTTCAAGAACTAACCTCTAACACCAGTGAATACATTTTCTAACCAAAAAGTAGGTCAAAACAAATTAGAATTCTTTGTGAAATTGTAATACTCTACCTGCCAGAAAGGGTAGATGGTGTGTGCATTCTGAGCAGCTCAGTTAAGTGCTAAGCAAAACTTGCAACGCCCACTTGAAACCAACCTGGTTCTGGACAGTACTGGCACACTGTGGGGCTCTACATCTGGAAACCCACAGGCAATGTTGCTCTGAAGGCCCCAGGAGCAGGACAGGCCCCAGAAACAAATGCCTAAAGAACCTCCATGACCTCAGGAAAGGGAGGGAGGTAATAGCTTCAGTTTACTGGCACCCTGAAGGCCACTTTCTGCATGAATTCCACACTAGCCTTTGTAGGATCGACTGTAATTTTTTAGCCACAGGTCAAGCAGCACAGGCAAATGGTGTACCAATGAAGGAATGAGCCTTCACCATAAATATCAGAATCATGGCTTACAAGAAATTGGGACTAGGGGCCGGCAGGTGGAGTGATGGTTCAGGGTAATGGACTTCCACGTGGCCAACTGTGGTTTGAACCCCGCAACTGGCAGCTTGCTTTCTCGCCCGCCCCCCCTCTGTCCCACTCTGATCAAATTAAAACAAATAAATAAAGTTAAATAAAGTGATTTTAAAAAGCAAAGAAAAAAGAAATTGGGACTCCAGCAGGTACAATGAAGAACACCAAATTCAACCTCTTTTAAGCAAATGAGAAACTAGTCATAGAGCTGGTTCCCATGATCTACTTTAAGTGCCAACAATGGTAAGTGTACCTAACCTTTACACAGAACTTAATCAGTGGTCACTATTCAAAGCACTAGAGATACATTACCTGTTTGATACCACAATACACTATGGAGTAGTTAGAATGAAGGAAGAAAGTGAACTACAAGGCAAGTATGTAACCTGCTCAGTATCATATAGCTTACAGTGGTAGGCCTACCATCTGAAGACAAGCAGGCCAACTCCTAGGGGCCTATCCCTTACCTGGTAAACTACATATCAAGAACGGCATAAAATAAAATAAAATGTGTATGACGCAAAGAAGAGAAACTTAAAATTTAAAATATGTGTTGAAAAGATGAGCTTAAAAAACAACTGGGCCTAGCTATAGTTATGAAGAAGGTAGGGTGCCACCATGTAAAATTGTGCTACGTGGAAGGCTTAGGTTTAGATCCCAAGTTAACCTGAATATAACCTAACTGGATCCTGCCATGTTGGGAGGATTACAGAGGGGGGGACACCTTGTCATGGGAATCTGTTGCTCGGTCTCATGAAAGAAATAAATTTAAAAAACAAAAATCCCCCCCAAATAAAACTTTAAGCAAACGAAAAGGCAATGTTGAAAAAAGAAATAAAGCAATTTTTCCTTCCAATGGGATATTCTGATCAAATATCTAGTCAAGATCTACATTTAAAAATACACATCTAGGGGCCAGCAAGTGGTATGGTGGTTAAGGTACTGGACTCCCACATGGCTGACTGCGGTTCAAGTCCAGGCCTGAATGCTTAATTTCTCCCTCTTTCCTACCCCCATAATATGTGCAGTAGCAAATTTTAAAACTCTGATAATAATAATAATAATAATGAATACTTTTTTTTTGGGGGGGGGGATTTAAGTGCAGGACCAGCCCATGGTCCACTTGTTAAGATGGCTGGATTCCATGCAGCCAACAGTGCAGTTCAAGTCCTGACCTAGCAGCATCAGGAAGGACTGCAGTATGACTGCCCCAATGGGGACCGTTTTCTCTCCCTACAGTGAGTGCATGTATCCACTGACAATTAAAAAAAAAAAAAAAAGAAAGAAAGAAAGAAAGAAAGAAACTAGGGGTCAAAAAGTTCAAGGAGGGACCAGCAGTTAGTGTAATGGCTATGTCGCTGGACTCCCATATAGTCGACCGCAGTTCATGTCCTTGAAACTCACTCCGGGCGCATGTGCATGCATGCCCAAGATCCCGAGAGGAGAATGGAGGAGAAGGGATTGCAGCGTGACCATCCCCCCTGGGGGGTGATTTCTCGCTTTCTGTCTCTGTCTCTGTCTGTCTGGCGAACGCACGCGCCCTATAGCAAAAACCTCTCCAAGAAAAAAAAAAAAAAAAGTTCAAGGAAGTTCAGTTACTGTGGAGTAGAGTAACCTATGAGCTCGAAGCCACAGGAGCAACAGCAGGTTTGGATCTCTGGGTGGCCTGGTGCAGGTGCTCAGTATCCTGAGGACATAGAAGGCTGGGGAAAAGACCCTGCCGAAAGTGCTTGCTCTTGCCCATGTGCATATGCATGTGCTCTCTATCATCTATTTTTCCATGAACCTTTTAAAGTCCCCTTATACGTTTCCAATGTTACAGGTAATCAATGTAAACGTGAAAAAGTTATAGTTGAACCTCTAGGTACTTAGAAGGGGAAAATTTCTTTCTCATCAGGAAGTGCTACCTAAACTCTGAGGACCACTTGAGCATTTAATACACAAGATAGGCAAAACAAATAAAAAGCAAAACAAAAAACACTTTTAAAGTTTAATTCATGCTCTTAACCAAAAGACCCAAGTCCTACTGAGATTCAAGCAAGCTCTAGGAAGCCTCTACCTGTTCTTTGTCTAGCTATGATTCTAAGTTCCGGTTTTTGGAGAGGTTTTTGCTACAGGGCATGTGCGCTCGCCAGAAAGAAAGAGACAGAGACAGAAAGCAAGAAATCACCCCCCAGGGGGATGGCCACGACGCAATCCCTTCTCCTCCACTCTCCTCTTGGGATCTTGGGCACGCACGCATACGTGCCTGGCATGAGCTTAAGCCACTGGGTATGGGGCTTTAACAGCGGTCAGCTACATGGGAGTCCAGCAACATAGCCATTATGCCAACTGCTGGTTGCTTATAAATTTCTTTTTATTTGTTAAATAAAGGTTTGACTATAGTTTCTTAGTCTAGAGAATACCAACCAAAACAGTAAAACATTCTGCAAACCTTACAGAGCCACACATCTTTTCCCATGTAATGGAAAGGTGCTGGGTTAGCAGACATGGGTTCTGGTATGGACTCTCACACTAACTACCCACTTGCTGTGAGTGGCATTAAGCCAATTTATCGTCCCAGACCAACTGCTATGCCTGTAAAAGAAAAATAAAAGGGGGGTGGTGGTGGTGGTGGTGGTATGTGCCTGGGTGAGGCTAGAGGGTTAAAGTTTCAACTAGCTCTGACATTCTGGGGCTTGACAGGAGTTAAATGTGTAAGGACAAGAGAATACGTTTTTCTTGAGCAAGTGGATGGAGACAGATAATGAATCATCAACTAGGATAGAGAAGCACAGCAGCTTCGTTACCTCCAATTCTCCTGGTCAGTCACAACACATCTGAAACTTCTAGTTAAGAATTACATGA